TTCGTCGTATGCTCTGGGAACGCCCGGATATAGGAAATGCTGCGCTGGCTGCGCCGAAAGGCAGCTGGCTTCCTGATGAACAGTCTGGAACTTGAAGAAAAGCCTGCGCACAGTGGTATATTCTGTGAGGCCTCACACAGCCTCCATTGCTGTCCCTAAGGACAGAATGTGCGTGTCGTCAGGAGTCACTCGGAGCCGTGTCACCAAAAACAAGGAACCCTAAACCCGAAACCCTTTGGATGTACAAAGGGAGGGACCCTGTTATAGAAATTTGCAGCAATGTCTACACCGGCCTGTGAAGTTGAGCAAAGACTGCAGGGTTACCTGGACTGGACACACCGCTTCCCTTGGATATCTTTGGGCTTCGAGGCTTTAGGGTTCTAGGGTGTAGGGCCTAAGTTTAGGGCTTGACTGCATGACAAAATAAGCTCCACTCAACAAAGCTAGAACTCGGTAAAGTCCTGCAGACACAGACATGCTCCAATGACAATCAATTTCAGCATGGATAAGACCTACTGGGTTGCTGTTAGGAACGTAAATTAATTCGCCACGCGATGGGTATATAATAAATAATGGGTAGGGCTTCTTTACCATAGTAATGCAGTGTAAATTCTTGAGCAGCAACCCAGTCTACTGCTGAGTCCGGAGAATAAATGTGCCATCTCAGGCCGTGGCGGACGTCCCCGGCAGCCCATGCAGCACGCAAGCATCAGAGAAGGTGAGCTTCTGCCTGTTAGAGGCATGGCGGGAGACAACGGATCAATCTGCCGATGTGTCTGACGTCCAGCAATAACTCAGGAGACACCGTCATTCCATCAGCTCCTGTGGCCCTAAAATTGAGCCTGCCCTTCTTGGGGCTATATACGGGATATACGGGGGTTATATTGGGGTAATGGAAAAGAAAATGGAAACTATAGTATATTTCGGAGGGGACTCTGACCTGTTAGAACTAGCAGCTTGCAAGGCCAGCGACGTGACAACGTAGTGACCCGAGAGGCTTTCGTTCAAGCAGGAATCTGGAAAGGGCTTCGCCTGCAACTAGACCACTACTTGGAGGGTGGGGGGAAAGAATGGACAAGTGGACAAAACAAGTAGGTCAATGATGGGGATGACTGGAGTTTGTATATGGCATGTAGGGGTTTGAAGCATGCTTACCGGACCCTCCAAATACCGCTATGACCTTCCAAAATAGCCTTGTGAAGCACGTTCTCACGAAAGCTCTTTAATGTTATCAAGCTTACTCAATACTACCACTGACTCTGCTGTCATTTACACAATATGTGCCTGCATGCTACCACAGAAACTCGTACTTGTGGGTATAACAATAAGAATAACAAAGTAGTGATAGATATACGACTCCCTGCGATAGTACTTCTATTCGCTCCACCGCGAACACCGACAGTTACATCACAGCTGTTTTCTTACTGGTGATTAGTGGCTAGCGGGGATAAGGGAATGGAACCCCTCTATACTCCCTATGCAATATATCTCTATTCCTTACTAACCCCCAGTAAGTTTTTTCAAGAGGCAGGGAATTGTAGAACTCAAACTAGGCCGCGCAGCCTCTGCAGTCAAAGAGGAGGGCCGCAACGTTGTAGAAAGATCTTCCAGAACAGGGGCAGGGGCGGCCTGGGCCTGGAACAGCAAGCCAAGCACTCAAACCTGAACCCACCACAAAGGTTTGGGCTTTTGGGCCTAGGGTTTCGGGTTAACCCTAAACCCTAAACCCTGAACCCTAACCTAAGTGAACATGCCTGCCTCAAAGACCATAGGACACCACAAGGACGGCTCCGGGCATCTGAGGCCATAAGCAACCTCCCTTGCAAAGCCTTCGGCCAGACTTGCTTTTAAGAACACAACCTCATTTACGATTACTATTACGACTATTACTACCACTAGTACTATGGTCATGATTATAATTATGAATACTATTCGCACAACTGTTACTACTATTATTACGCCATTGTTTTTGTCCTGCCTGGTCAGGCGTCAAGCTTCCACCATCAGGGGGTGAGCGAACAGCGTCCGAGAGCAACAGCAATCCTAGGCACGAAGCGTCAGGAAGCATAACACTCCTCATGCGGCGGTCAGCTTCTCACATGATCTTTCCCACGTCCAAGACTCGGAAGAGAACGGCAGCCCAGCACATGAAGTCATGAGAAGCTAAAGCCAGCATCAAGCAGCCGGCCACAAACAACGAAACCTTTCGCTACTCGGGGTCTGGGAGCCAGACTGCGTCGGGAGGGGCTTTGTTGATAATGAAAAGTCACACTCTTTATCTGAGGATCAATCAGGGTATGTGGAGCTGCCACCTGGGAGTAACCCCAATGTACTATAGTAGTTTCCATTTTATTGTCCATTATCTCAATATAAACCCCAATATACAACAGTAGTTTCCATTTTATTTTCCATTATCCCAAGATAACCCCAATGTACTATAGTAGTTTCTGTATTCTCCGCTTAGACTGCTCATCTCCAAGCCTTGTTTGGAGGCTCTACACCGTTGCACTGTCAGGCACCATATTTTTTCGTGTGCTGCGTTCCCTGCGTCAGCAGCCTTTGCTAGACCGTGTGAACCTTCTTGCCAGCATCTCAATCGAGAGTTCTGCACACCCCGCTGTAAGCAGCAAACGCGCGTTGCAATGAAGGATTCCTGGCGCCGAGCAGAGCCAATGCAGCGACATGCTTGACAGCCTGTTGGGCAGGGCCAACTGAAGCCGATAGCAGCATCTCCGCCACATTAGCTAGCAGTAGGAAGTGGAGAAGACTTGTGTCTCGCAACCTGTCCGCTCCTGCGAAAACCCGCAGTCTGCAACATGTTGTGCGCAAGAAGCTCCCGCACACGGCTCTCATCCACGCAGTGGCCAGTAAACCAAAGCGCACATGTCACGTCCAATGCGATCTGTTGCTCCACTGCCGTTGCATCTGTTGCTCCACTGCCGTTGCTCCTGCTCAACAGAACCACCTTGCTCGTCAGTCAGTCGAGGAATCTGACGCAGCTGCGCTAACAGGGCCGGAACTCACTACTTCCATCCTCAAACCACATGCATGCCTGCTCATCCCCTCCACCCTGTCTGCTGATGATCAGATGCACATCCGCACTGTCAAAATGAGCAAATCCGTCGTAGCGCGGCTCCGAAGCAGATGACCAGGCTGTGGGTTGAAGAGTGCACCTTCTCCTACATTTGCACAGTCCCTCCAGTTTCTGCTCGGCAGTGGCAATAGCTTGCCATCCAACGCACCCTTTCTCATCGGGTAAGATTTCGGGTCTACACAATGGCTGATGCCCTGGATGGGAGTGTGCAAGATACCACAAGTAAAGGTTGCATCATGCCGCGACAGTGAAGCATCGAATCCTCATCCTGGCCGGACATGACAAGCCCTAAATCCAAAACCCAAAACCCTGAGCCATATGAGCCATAGTCTAAGCTCCTAGTAGCATCCATCCCCTGAATAACCCCAATAGTCATCCCCTATATAATTCCCCTATATAACCCGCTTTAAAGGAGTTTAGGCTACAGCTCAGATGAGGTTGGGTTCGCCGCACCTGCCATGATCGCCCCTGAAGCTGTCAGAAGTTGCTAAGCATCAACTGGGTTGCCCTTAGGGAACTTAGAGTGAGTTACCATAATATGGGCATATAGTAAATAGTAGGGTTTCTTTTGTACGGTAGCTTAATTTGAGCTACTTAATAACATCCAGTCAAAATGTGCGGCGCGCTGGCAAGTGCTCACAAGGCAAAGCACGAAAAACACCAAAAATTAACGGACCGGAAAACTGTGTGCTTCAAAATGCAGGTACCCTTTTGGAGCCCAGGGATATGATGTGCAGGGATGAAACAAAATTCTGGGGGTCCATATAGGGGTTCTGTGAGGAAAATTTGGAGGAAGCTCCCAAACAAATCTACAACCATCATGAGATGAGCTACAGACTAAAGTTAGGTTAGGAGGGATCTATAAGGAGATGTATAGGGGGATTCGGGGACCTACTTAGGAATGTACTAGAACTTTAGTGCAGGGCTCATACAGGGGAAGCACAGCCATCCGAACATCTTTTGGGCATCCTGCCGATGGCGAGCGAGTGATCTTAAACACTTAAACGCCAAGCTACTGCCACGCTGCTTTAAAGCCTATTGAAACAGGCAGCCTCCATGGCCATGACAGAGAGGGAAATTTCCAAAAATGGGGGCTCATGCACACACAAGGACTTCGCAAACGCTGCTGGTTGAGGCCCCCAGTTGCTTTTTGGAGAATGTCCCAAGACTACTCCTACGTT